CCCCCTTTTTTTGTAATTTCAGATGTGCGTTTAGGTGTATTAATGCTTGAATAAGAAAGTGTGTATTAACTCAACATTGACCACCAATACATACACTCATATTTTTGTACATACGCATTTGTATGAATATTCTACGATATTTCTCCTGTGATATTTAATCAAAAAACTTCAGTTTCCTACAACAATTGAAATTTAGCAAATACTCAAACGCGAACAACAACAACAACGCTAATAAAAATACCGGACACGCATATTCAAGCAGTCAAGTGTTAACTTTTGTTGTTGTTATTAAATAACTTGGTGTTTGTGTGTGTATTTTTGCATTTCTGACATGTGCTTGGCGTGTTCGAAACGGTGATGTTACCAAATAAACTGGTTGTAATCTACTGCCAACAAACGACGCAAGAACAACGTCCCAACGATAACAGTATCAACACCAGCAGCAACATCATCAACAGCAACAACAATTGCATTAACACGAGGAACAGCAGGAACAGCCAAGGCAACAACATCAACAACAATAACTGCGTCATTGGCAATTGCCAACATCACAGCGTGAACGACAGCGATAGCGACGCCACCAGCGACGACGACGCCGACGACGAGGACTACGTCAATGACGGCCACGCCTCAATCAAGTATGAAAATTGTGTTGGTCAAGTGTGTCGTGTTTGTGGTTGCATTTTGAGTGTGTTAACGTCGTTACCAAGTCTGCAGCAACAAGCGAGCACGCATCCCGTTTGTATTCCAGACCAACAACAACAACACGAACAACAACAGCAGCAAAAGCCATTGCAACAGCAAAACCAAGAAAAGCTAAAACAAAAACAAATACAAGCATATTTATGTGCAACACAACAACAACAAGTACAACAAGGTTGTAGAAGAACACTTACGAAACCAGAAACAACAACAACGTCAACAACAATAATAACGCACGCAAGTCGTACGTATGCATTGCCAGCAAACTTCCGTCATTTGCCATTCAAAGTGCGGCCAGTGAGGTCTATTGAACTGTATGCGAAGCAGAAGCAGAAGTATTGGAAACGGAAATTTGCAAACATAATTCGAAAATATGAATTTAATTATTGTCGCCATTGTGCTACTAATGGCCCACAAGGAATACATGGCAAGCCCAACACCATTGAAATTACCAGGTGAGTGGTCGCTCTAAGCAAATATAAAGCGATATGTGCACATATACATACATACTTTCCACAACTATTAAGTCTTATGTACATAAATGTAACTAATGCATATGTATGTATGTACATATGTATATATATATGATAGCCATCTATTTGTAATGTATGCGTATCGTACGTTACGTCTAGCTGATATTACGTAGCTTATAATGAAAAATTCATGCGCAACTCTGACATCTATCTGTACATTAATGTATTTTTGATGCCCTGGGTGTCCTGTGCAATATACGAGTATCTACATATGTACCATACATAAGTATGTACCCAGCTCCAATGGTAAGGCAGCATCATAAACGTCCACAATAAATTATTCACATATTTGGCGAGGGGCGTGTGTGGGCGAGAGTTTTAAAGTAGCATAATTCGATGCTGCTTTGTAAACAATATTAGCAGCAGTTGGTGGAGGGCTATGGAAAAGGACATTAAGTCGAGTATTATGGCAAAGTAAAATATTACTGCTTCGTTTGTTTGCGACTTTTCCATACGTATTTAAGTCAATAATAAGTAGATTTTCCGTTTAATAGCATTGTAATTTGCTGTTGCAGAAAACATATTGTATTTTCTGTAGTCGTGAGTCGTCTGCTTCCAACCGTCCCTTCGGTGTGTTACTTCAACAAAGGTTTACTGTTGAACAACTCCAACTCAATGTTCGGATAATTGAATTACGTTCCTTTCTATAGATTTTACCTGTCCAGAATCTTTTGACTTTAACCTTTGTTAATTTTTCAAACAGAGAAAAAGTTTTCAATTGTTTTTAAACTTCTTTGTTCGTAAGCAGATTTTCTGCTGTTGAACTTCTTTATTAGAATTTTGATAAGTTGTACCGAGCGGAAACTTTTCTCAATCACAAAATTTCTTTTTTTTTTGCTTTAGCATGTAATACCCTTCCTCGTTCTTATTGCTTACAATATTTTAATAATCATACCTTTTTGAAAGATTTTAAATATGAAATAATTTTATAAAAACTGTTGAAGCGTACCTTTATTTTTAATTCCTACCATAAACACTTTTTCAAATTTCCAACTTCAAAAAAGCTTAAATTTTGTCTACCGCGCCAGATTGTTTATTATAAATATTTGAGCTAATTTTTCAACTAAATTGATTTCCCCTGCAAATCATTAAAACTTTAAGTACAATAATATTAAACTCATTTATTTCTTTATTACGATTTAATCACGTACTCTTATAAGCGAGTGTGAATAGAACACTTGTTAACGTAATAACATACTAGTAAAGCATCAACCAGCTAGGTTATATAATACAAATAATGGGAAACTTCAAGTATACCATAGAGTTAGCTGCAAAAAAACGGGTCTCTTATAAGTGTATTGGAAAATACAACTTAATCGCATAACCACGACTAACATGCCTCGAACAGAAATGCAATAAAATTTGACACTTCAAAATCTTCAAGCACATAATTTCCGTGCTAGGTTTCATCCACGGAGAAGGCTGAAATCATTGCAGTAGTGGAGGATCTTTTTTAGCGCAGTTCGGTGTAAATCGAAAATTTTTGTTCTTCAAACATTTAAATGTGTACTCGTACACTTAAAGTATGTGTAATTATGTCATTAAAATTTTAAAAATATTTATACAGTGTTGTTTATACCTTGAACAGTTGAAGTTTGCTACGCTGTTTGCACCCAAAAAAATCATCGGAGATCCTATCAAATATTGTATACAAGTATATAAATGATCAGCATGATGAACTTAGTCGATTTAGCCATGTCAGTTTGTTTGCGAACTAGACCGATCGATCGATGTGAAATTTTGCACCCATTCTTTGTTGGAACGGTCGATATTGCTTGTATGGAAAATTTTATTTATATATCTAGATATATTCTTCAAATTTTGCTTGAGCTATTGTTTAAGGCAATGGTGCAATCTCCGAAGATATTGTTTAGTTTAAATTGCTATAGCATATAACTGGCATATAAACTGAATGATCACAATTAAGTGCTGGTATTCAAAACTTTTTAATTTGACGACCAAATTTGGCATGGGTTATGGTCCACGACAACGGAGCAATCTCCGAAAAAATTGCTCAGATCGTGTCACTATAGCATGTAGCTATCATACAAATTGACCAATCGAAATTCTTATAAGGAATCTTTTGTATTTGTGAAGGGTATAAAAGCTTCGGTGCAACTTTTTTTTTTACTTCAAAAGAATTTGTATGTGTGAGAAAAATGGGCATATTTTAGATTCTTAATAATAAACTAAGAAATATGAATTTATCCAAAACTTCAAACTTTATTAAACGTTTCAAAAAGAAATAAATAATAAACAACTTTTGTTTCAATCGAACCCATATTTGGTCTATAAGCAGATTATAAGGATAATGTAAGCTGAATCTCAAATATTCTCTCATAGCGAAAAAGAAAATGGTATATATGTAGAAATATTTCAGTTTTTTCCAAAAATAATATTGTAATGTAATACTTTTAAAGCATGAACGCAATTAAGCTGACGAATAGGTAAGGGTAATCTGCTGACATAATTTATGATTAAAGTATTCTATCATAGTAAAGTTGACAGCATTTCATCAGAAAATTCTGTCTATTATTACCAGTTTCTAGTGAATTTTTAAATAATCCAAAAAATAAAATGGAGATAAATATTCCACAATAGACGTGTTTTTAGTATATTTTTTAACGATCCCAAATATTTAAAAATATGCGCAATTTACTCTCGCCAATACCGTACCAAATATTATAATAAAATATTTAGTTATTTTTGGTCACTATACAATAACAAATAAATTAGCAAATTCTATCACATAGTTATTTTTGGTCACTATACAATAACAAATAAATTAGCAAATTCTATCACATTAAAGTGTAAAAAATATATGCTTTAATTTCTATAAGCTACATATATTCTACTGAAAAAGTGCAGTAATTTTTGTGCTTTTTCTTTTTATTGTGCAAATTTAATATCTGTCAATTTGTGCATGCATATCTCTGGCAATATGTTAAAGTACCATAAATCGATTTAAGTTGACTGTTGTATTTCGATTTCTAATAGGATTTTGCGTATATACTTTGTTTCTATTTTACAATAATTTTAAACTTCAGATTTTAAGCTATTATTTAAAGGGCTTTATCCATTTTCGAATTAAAAAAAAATTTTTTTTCATTTATAACGAATTTATATACAAGTATATTTAAAAATGTTCTCTGAAAATTTAAAGTTAGCCTGGCAAATATTTTCGAATATATTTTTAATTTAGTGCAATATACAGCCAAAACTATAAACGCTGCTTTTAGAGTCGGAAATTGCTTTGGAAACCTCTAGATCGATCAACTTGAAATGTTCACACGATCTTCTTAGATAGATTTGTCAGGTCAGGATTAAAGGTTTTTTAAATAATTTCGATTTTTTAAGCTACTTTGAAGTGTTAATTTTTTCACAGAAATCTACTTTTTTTGGGGAGCCGAGCTTTTGTTAAAAATTCAAATATTACTTTCGTCCTTCGATCACCACCTGTGAGCATCTATTGTTATAATAATTTTTTTGGTTTTTTAATTTGAGATAATTTTAAGCAGATAAATCTTAATTACCGCTAGACACCTTTTTTCGAAGTTCCTTTTGGAGACTGGCTACGGGATAAAATGAAACCAAAAATTTTCAAAATGATTCGCCGATTATAATCGTTTAATTATTGTACTAAAGAACATAAAATTCTGTAAAAGCATTGGCTGATTTCGACTTAAGCTATTTTAAAATTTAACACATTTTTAAATTTTATATATATTTTTCAACTACTTTATTACTCTTTTGCAAACAAAAGCGCTAGAAAATGTTGCCATTAAGTATGCACTGTTAAATTTATTTTACTTTATGCAATTTTTAAATAATCAAGTATAAATCACCATGAACAAAATATTGAATTTATAAATCATTTTGGAGCAACTCAAAGAATCCATGATAAATAAATTAAATTGAAGCAAAATGCAGTTCTATGCAAATGAATAGATATACTACAACGATTTTCCGAAAGTACAGATAAGAAAATTGTTCATCAAAGCTTACAACTTTTCCGCTTTAAAAAGTATATATTGAATATAGTGCAGCATTCAGGGAATATATATTTATATTTGTTTATATATGTATGAATATCCACTTGGATGTATGTATGTGTGGGTAAATGCTCTTGCGCAGTAATTGAAATAAGTTATTTACCGTTGAGATGCAAATGCAAAAGTGAAAATGTAATTGAAATGCGGAATGCGGAATGCAAGAAATCAATGAAAAAGTGAGAAAGCAATGGTGTTGTAAATGAGAGAATAAACTTAATTGAATTGATTGAAATCATGGAAAATAAATTAATTTGATTTTATGATTAAATGGAGCTTTTATGCCTGACCACTTCATTTTAATTATTACTTACTGTCACCATTGATCCACTTAGCCAGTGATGAGGCGAGCGAGTACCGATAGATAGGTGTACTTGTAGTGAAAAATCAGTAGTTCAGCAAAGACATGCTAAGGATGTTGTTGTTGTAGGCTTGTTTGTTGACATTTGCGGTGTACATCCAGAGCAGATGCGCCACCTTTGACAGACGGGTTTGTGCGCCTCATGCAAATTAAGTTAATATAATTTCTAAAGTTGACTCAGCATGTGTAAATTGGGTACACATGCACACACTTGCATACACACAAGCGTTCAGTGAAAACTACGGATAAATACCGTACGCCAAACACGTGTCCATAACGCCCCAACAAATGAACTCATGTATGATACACGCATATATACTTAAGCGCCCAGTCATGACAGCAAACATACAATGCGGTTTGCCATCCTACACACACACACTAAACACATATTGCCACTCAACCATGACTTAATTTTTAAATCCTTAATGCCGGCAAGTGGGTGTCTTTCGGAAAGAATCACAGGTTAGTGGAGGTCGTTTGAGAGCGCCTGATCGGCTGCGGAGGATTAACCG